TGATGGTGAATGATGGTCATGATGATGATGATGATGGTGGTGATGATGGTGATGGTGATGGTGATGCTGATGACGATGATGACGATGATGATGATGCTGATGATGATGACGATGAGAAGGTAATTATGACGATGATACTGGTGACCGTTCCTTGTGCCGACGACGACAACCACCGCAACAGTGGGATTGATGTTGACATTACCCACATCTTCAGCGGGAACGACCAAAGCAACTTCTCCACGACCACCACCTCGCTCAGAAACTTACATATCAGAACGACAATCATGATGCCAGCATATGCCAGCATTCTCTTTGAGGTCTGAATCGCGAGAATAATCATATACAATATTATGGTGATGTCATCTTCGATATGCTCTTTAGCGATGCTGGCGATAACGACACCTCAGGTCACATGCCAAGTAGCTTACGAGCCTGACGCCAGCTTAGGAAGCTGTGGAATAGAACGCATAGTACCCGGTGCTGCAAAACCCTAAGATCATGCAGCAGCACTGCCATCAGGCTACTGGCAAGTCTTAGCGGTCTTATCGACTTTGAGATGCAAGCTGTTTGATGTTCAGTAACAGGATAACCTCTTGCTGGCCTGTGAGCGAGCATCCTTATTCCCGAGCCCGAAACCCTAAACCCTAAGCCCTCAGGCTTTGCGCCTTTTTTGCTCGCTTTCCCAGGCCAGCCCGACAAGGTCGAGGATGACGGCTACGAGCATCTGCTGCCCCTGGATGTCGGAGATGTGGTTCGTGTGGCCGGGAGCTTAGTCCTCATCTTAACGCTAGACGTTTCCTGTTTGAAAGTGCTGCTGTCATGCGAAGTTTGGCGAATCCTACTATTCGGGTTATATGGGGCTTGCTTGAGGGTTTAGGACCCAAGTCTCTTTGTGCAAAGCTCGCTTGAGCCACCTCTAGGTTTGTCGCATCGAGCAGAAGCAGCGCCTTGGCGCCAGTTGGGTTGAGCTGTTGAGCTGCGAGGCTCCGGAACCCGAATATGATGGTAAAAGTAATGGTAATGGTAGTGGTACTGGTATTTTTTTAATGGTAATAGCAGTAGCAATAATGGGACTCCAGGGGTAGAAGCCCCTGATCATGCTCTCTCTGTGCCTGCAAAAAATACTCAAGTCGGTGATTTTGTTGAACGCGGGCCCGTGGGTTGCTATGGTTTTGGCGCATGCTTCGGCTTTGTACTTGTTGCCTGCAGCTGCTGCGAGGTCTCCGGGGCCACTATTAGGGTTTAGGGTTTAGGGCATACCTGTTTAGCATGAAAATCAATACCAAAAGAACTCAACAAATCCATGGCACATCTGCCACTGCACGTGAAGGCTCCTGCCAACGCACTGCAAAAGTGATCCTTGTTGCAGGGGTACAATGTAATGTGCCACTACTAGCTTCCCAGAATGTCGACATCAGTCGCATGTGGCAGAGGCAACCTTGCTTAGGAAGGCACTACAACCCAATTGGTGGCATCAGTTGTGAAAGATCTCTATGCTGAGTAGTCTTGCCATGAAGTATGGCGACTTCAGTTGCCACATGTTATCGAACTTGTCAAGTAGAGGTGCATGTAGAGAAAAAGGTCAACTGGAGTTCCGATGGCATGATTTCTGTAGAGGTCCGAACCTGAGAATAGTACCATGCAGCTGCCTAGATTATTCTCTTACGAGCATTGCAGGTTTGGTCGCAATTTGCAGAACGACTGCGGCAGCGAGGGGAACTAAATGCAGCCTCTTGCTGGGAGGAAGTGGCTCCACGGCTATGTGGACAACCCCCTGCCTCCTGACGGCCTGATCAGAAAAGGCTGGTTTCCAACCAGGTGCGTCGGACGCGATAGACTCTATCCCTTGCTGAAACGGTTAATAGCAAGCGGATGATGTGAACAAAGTAACCCTGAACGATCGGAATTCGTAAAGGCAAAGTGAGAGGGAATCCGAGCGGCTGCTGGCCGAAATCTAGACAGGAAGTGCTGCACTTTGCAACTCATGTCGAAAACTCATCCAAGCACCATTGTTTCCATCTAGCCGAAATTGGTCACAGCCTTCGTAGCGCTTTTTTGGAAAGTGTTTAATGATCCTTACTCAAGGGTGTGACTACAGAACCTGATGTCACCTGAGCCCTAAACGCCGTGGACAGATATTGCATGGTTAGCGGTTTCTTCTTGGCCAGTTGCGTTCAGAAGCTCGACCACGGGACTCGCAATGCTGACAAAGGCTGGAGACGAGTTCAAAATGCTTCAATTGTACCGTTTTAGCTTTGGGCAGTGCTCACGGTTGTTCAACTTTTCGGGCGTGAGGCATGTGATTCCTGGGTTTTGCTCACAAAAGGGCGTGTTTTCTTGAAGAGACCCGGAAAGCGTCATGCAAGGGCGAGGCAGACCAGAGGAACCGCAGAATTGTAGACCTCACTGTGAGTTGAAGCCGCGTGGGAAGCTGTCACTTTCTGCCTTCATTCTCTTCCTCCTGCCACAAAAGGCTGTCCCAAGAGCCACGTGGTGCTTCCGTTTCCCTGCTCCCCTCCTTGCTACCACAACTCCTGATGTGTAGTCTGAGCAGAGTAGCATTCGGCCGCTGAGCCGGCAGGACGCCTGTATGGAGCTTACTACCATTGCTAGTATTGTTACTATAAATCATAGTGATGATACTAGTAGCAATACTACGATTATTACTAGTAAACTAGTATACTATGATTACTTTTACTACTAGGGTTACGGGTATTGCTCTCCTCGAATTCCGGAAGTTCGAGATGTTAGAGACTCCCGAAGCGCGAAGGCCGCAGCCCCCTGCAGCTGCTACAAGCCGGCCGGCGCCCCCCAATGCCCCAGGCAGAGCTGGGTTGGGCGAAGCTCCATTGCATCTTACTACCACGATACCGCTACTTTCTACGACGACAATACCACAGTACTACGATAGACCCACGACGACGGCGACCACGACGACGACTACGGCTACTGCGACTACTGCGACGACACATACTGCATACAGCGACTACTACGACGACTACTACCACTACAACTACTACACTACGACTACTACGACCAGCACGACGACTACGACTTTTGCGACGACTAAGACGACGACGACGACGACAACGAGGACTACTACGACCACGACGACTACTACTACTAGTACTACGACTACTTCGGCTACTACTGTTACTGCTACTGCTTCTACTACCACCACGACGACGACGACTACTTCTACTACCATCACCACTGCTGCTACTACTCTACTACTGCTACTGCTATACTACCACCACCACGACGACTACTTCTACTACTATCACCACTGCTACTACCGCTAGTGCTGCGGCTACTGCTGCTACTTGTGTTGATTTTTTGCATGGGCCTACGGCCTCTTGCCTTCGGAGACCCCACAGCTAAGCCGAGTTGCTCCGTGAACAGGTCCCGGAGCACCTTGTCTCCCAATTCAAAAGCCGGGGGACCCAGGAGTGAATGGGGGTTAGCCAGCAGAACAGACTGCCAGGGTTGCAAGCATCGGCCAGTTCTGGAAGCCTCGCGTGCTGGGTTTCATAAAAGTTGCTGCACTGTCCTGGCCCTGGAGTCTCTTCAGACTTCCTTGAGATTTACTCATTCCCTTTCTTGGAAGTAGCAGACGGTACTGATGCTGCAGCTCTTGCCCCGATAGCCATGAGCACGGTCCTCATGCCTGCGCACTTGCGATGTGAAGGCGAACGGTGAGCTGGTGTGCTTCGGGAAGAATAGTGAGGGCCAGTGCATTGTGCCGACAAACCTGGCCTGTTGTGGCCGTCGCTGCACGCGCTACACAGACTTACGCTGTTCGAGCGAACGGTAATATGCGATCAACCTTGCTGTGCGCATGGATCGTGAAAGCGTGAAAAAGAAGAGCCAGTCAGCCGTGCGGCTAGCTTAGAGTGTGCACCTGCATACGTATACTCGATGACCACCCACCTTCAGAAGCAGTGCACGTATATGCATGTGTGTCTGTTAGTTGTGTAAGTATAGACGTCTCAACCGATGTGTAGCCGGATATGGAAGTTGAATCCGCAGAAGGTGAACCGGAGACGGAGCAACCCATCGAAATCGATGATGAAGATGATGAGGGCGGATGATGACGAAGGGCATCAGAGGAAGTCGGAGGGCAAGGCCAGAGCAGTAACTCTTCCTACTCGTGGTCACTGACGCATCAGTACGAGATCAGGGCCGGTCTTGCGGTGATCGGCTATAGACCTGCGCAAATCACCAGGGGCGTGTCAGTTTGGTTTAGGGTTAGGGTTTAGGGTTTGTCAATGTGTTCTGTAGAATACATAGAATAATTGGAACTACCTTTGTACTCCCGCCGCGTTTCTCAAAGTTGGAGGGACTGTGGCCAGCAGCCTGCAGCACCATGGAGGTGGTTTCGATTGTCTCAGGCTTTGGGGCTTAGGATGTTGGCTGAGGAAAGACCGTGTGTGTGTATATATATATATACATATATATATATATATACATATCTTCTATATATATATATATATATAGAATACATGGAGATTGCTAGATTCCGAGGCTTCCGAGGGTGTGGAGCTCGCAGATGTATGTCAAAAGTCTACGGTGATGTGGTGCGGTTTGACGAAATGGGATGACAGCTTGGGGGACCATGTCTTCCTGTTCGAACTGTTGTTGAGCGTTTCTTTTCTAAGTACACATACTGTGCGAACAATCGTGGCTGGAGTGTGACTGCACCTGGTGTCCTGCCTGGCATTTCTAATTGAGCTGTTGATGCCATTATGGCACATTGCAACTTACGTGGATAGCATCAGTGTGTCTTATGGGGCTCAGTGTGCCAACACCGAATGGTAGGCATCATGCAGGGACTGTTAGTTTCACTTGAATTGTCATTGCCCATCGGCCAAGCAGCCTAGTACGGACGGCGTGCGCTTTTGCGCAGAACAGATGTGCCTAAGACCACGTCTAGCTGGTTAGCCATTAACCTGGTTGAGTCAAAGTCAAAACTCGTTAAACTGCGAAGTGCTCAGTCGCAGGTGGTGGGCGTGCCGTGCACAGTCCCAGCCGCAGCAGCCGTGTCACTGAGGCCCCGACTCGTAAAGCTTTGGAATCAACCACTGACCGACCGATTGGATTAATTCCCGGGCAAAGTCTGCGACATCATTCGAGGCCCAAGGATCGCTGTATGCGCCTTAGGTTGTTTGCAGTAGCTCCGAAGCCCGACCGGTGCAATGGTAAGTAAACTGATTGGAAAGGAGCCTTATAACTCCCCAATGAACCCTAGACCCTACAGAACCCCTAAAGGAACCCTACACAACCCAAAAGGCCCATCTTCAATCCCAGGCGGCCGAGTGCTTGGCCGATTGAAACGCAGTGGCAGTCGGCTCGGGTGCCCTGCTACCTCTCCGAAGTTTAGGGTTTATGGTTTAGGGTTTAAGTTTAGGGTTTAAAGCGGGCTAAGTCATTAGGGTTCCTTATTATGGCAATTATAGTATAATGTAGCCCAAAACCCTATTATAATTCTCAAGGCCCCTACATCACAGGGTTTAGGGTTTAGGGTCTAGGCTTGCCCTGGGTTTACGGTTGTGGGGTCTAAGGATTGAGGTTTGGGGTACAGGGTTCAGGGCTTGGGGTTATGCAGGGTGTTAGCGGTATTGGCAACATCCTTGCGCGAAGCCGTGATGATCCCAAGCCTGATGTTTATGATATCAAGCCCGGTTCCCAACAGCTCAATTGCCAAGAGTCGCAACTGTTCAATCCAACCTTCAACCCGAAGTCCTCGCAATCGGATATGAAATGAAAACCAGCCGACACCGAAGACATCCGAAGACATTCACAACAAGTCCCGACATCCAGTAGGCCCAGTAGGCCCAAATTCAACTCCCCCTGCCAAAAGCACCGCCCTCAACCCCAAACCCTAAATCCTGAACCCAAAACAGAGCACATCCAAGCTTGTGAAGGCACATGCGCGAGCGGAGATAAGGCAGAGCCTGAGTTTAGGAATTAGGGTTTAGGGATTTTGACTTTGAGCTGGCTGAGAGAAGCTTCAAATCATGCCGGCGTTTGCTGTTGATGTGATTCAACCCTATCCCCCTCAGTACCTAAGTACCTACTATATAGGGTACTAGAGCCCCTAGGGCCCTATATAGTAGGTACCAGGGGGGTTAGGGCAAGGTCTACTTCGGCCGTTCTTTGATTTTAGAAAAGCTAGGTTGAAGGCTGATTGAATGTTCCTGGCATTACTCACAAGCTCTCATGTACAACATCGTACAACCATCCGGCCAGCCTGACCCACGAGAACAAGCTTGAGCATTGCTTCCGGTGCACCCCTCATCTCTTGATCCAGCAAAGCAGAGTCGACAACGATAACGGAAGGAGTGTCGCGGTCTTGTGCAAGAGTTCCTGCAACCACAGTCACGGCCTTCAAGAATGTCAAGAAGCTGTACCTGCAAGAACATCCATGAGACCTACTTGGCACCTCGTCGACAATGCCTTTCCAATGCAAGAAAGGTCAGCGCAGCTCCAACATGGGCTGGCCCTTGCGGGCGGAGGTGCCTATTCATCGGCATGCTTCAGTTGACTTGGAACGAGTGGTTGGTGATGTTGATAAGTCTTTTCACCTGGTCATTCCCTGCTACACTGAGTCTCAGTCAGGGTTACTCACTGAGCTTGTAATTGACAAGTATTCACTTCTCCACCATTAGTGCTTCGGGGCACCAGCTCAGATCATAGCCCGTGTCCCGTTTTTCAATTTTAACCCTAAACCTTCAACCCTAAATCATCATCCTTCTCCTGCAATTGCAAGCGATTGCAGTTGCAGCGGTGGGGTCGAGATCCCGGCATCGGAGACACGCGAACAAGGCACCGCTTCCTGTGTGTCGGGTGCCAAAGCTTGATACCGTTTTATCCATTCCAGACACTAGCTCGCAGCTCTTTCGCGGGTTTTGTAGAATGGAAGTGCGAAAAGAGCGTCACGAAGGCTTCCCCGTACGGCAGCCACCTGTCACTGCAGCTCAGACAGATTCTGACCGCGGCTCCGATGCTGATCGCTGAGTTCTAATGTAAAAGCTCTTACCTAGACACTTGTAGAATAGCAGAGCATATAGTGCACTCCAAGACTAATTCCCTTGAACCTGCCTAGGCATGCTATGACCATACAGCACAAACCGAGCTGTTTATCAGAACTGCGGCACAATGCACGACCTTCTCCCCCCTACATGATGTAGTGGACACCATAGAGAATCACTTGCGGGAATATAATCGATGCTCGGGCCATACCATATAGGTAACAACCCGCAGCCGGACAGAAATCTCAAGCCAGCCCTACACCTAAAATCCCAACCCCTAAACCCATCTAAACCCTATAAAACCCTAGAGCCCAAACCGGGTTCAGAATGCTGTTGTCAGGTTTGCTGCGCTGCGACGTCCGAGGACGAGGAGGTCGTCCCCGCAGCGCGGTTTAGGCTTTTGGGTTTCAGGCTTTGGGGTTTAAGGTGTTGGGTTCATTCAGGGCTTAGGAACAGTTATGTGGAGAGAAATCTTCTTGGACCACTGGATGTCTTGCGTGATGTAAGGCCCGGCACGTGACATTTTGATGATGGCGAGGATGATCTGAGGATGATGAGGAGTGTTCTTATTTCATGTCCTTCAATTGTCCAGCGGTCCACGCTGGCAGCAGAGACACAGCGGCAGCAACAAAACAACAACTACGACAACGACGAAGACGACAACGACGACGACCACTAGCTGTAGCACCTGCTACGTCAGAGACGCTGCAGAGACTGCATGCCGTGCACTTTATACGTATAACTAGGTCACTCCTATACGTATGTATATATATATATATACACATATGTAGATGTATATTTCATTGTTTATTTGACCATGGCAGAACCAAGCGTTTATGAGCCCCAAGCTCTGCAAGCAACCCGCGGGTTCAGCTGCAGCAGACCACTCTCGCAAGAACTAGAACGAATGTAGTGAAGCAGCGAAGCAGGAATGAATAAGTAGGATGAAAACAGGCGAGTAAAGATAGTAAGTATCCGTCTACCGCGCGCACACACACCCACAAACCCTAAACACTCTTTATCATAGATATGTTTCAACCTTACTTCATTCGTTGAATATAATGTTTTCGGTGCTTTTTCGCCAAATTCAAGGGAAGGAATCGCCATATTCAACAAAGTCATGCCAAGAAATCGCCAAATTCAACGACGGCAGGCCCCTTCGTTGAATATGGCGGTTTCTTCGTTGATTGGCGTTTCCTTTTCCGCCCTTCGTTGAGTTTGGCGATTTCTTGGTCGAAAATGGGCCAAAGAAACCGCCATATTCAACGAAGGCATGCCTTCATTAAATATTGCGTTTTTCACCAAATCCTCGGTTTCTGGCTCAGGGACACAATCTAAGCTCTAGCGTTCAATGAGAAAAATAAGATGGTGTCAACATATTAGGGGAGTCTTGGGAGGGTGGGATGTTTTCTGATACCAAAATGACGAGCTCGACAAGAAACTGCCCGATCTGGAGCTTAAACCCTAAACCCCCAAACCCCTAAACCCTTAAACCCTAAACCCCAGAATAACCCTAAACCCCAAACCCCTAAACCCCCAAAGCCCTAAACCCCAAACCCCCTAAACCCTAAACCCCCTAAATCCTGCGCCCTACCTATAGTCTCCATTGTAGTTCCTTTTTGGGGATACCTTATAAAATCCTTAATATATAATTGGTTAAACCAAAAAAAGGAACTACAATGGAAACTATAGGTACCATCCTGAAGCCTACAGCCTGCGAGGCAGCGGAGCAGTTGGCAGCGCTAGAGGCCGAGCTGGAAGCTTTAGAGGAGACGAAGCGGGAGGGGTTTCGGGCAGGGTTTAGGGCCGCTTCTTCGGCCGGGGTGTTTAGAGCGTTTCGGGTTCAAAGTTGAGGAGCTTGAGAGGTTTTGGGGGGGGCATTGGTGTTTGCGGGGTCGCTGCTTGAGGTTTTAAAGCTTGAGAGGCTTAGCATAGGGGCCTTAAGATGGAGTGTCTGGGTGTGTGATGTCGGTTGAGCGGTTCCAAAGTCGTCTCAGCCCCGAATGGCAGAAACGACACGTCGAAACATCTTCAGGTCCAGAAGACTCTATGACTATGACGCAGTCTACTCCCCCCTCCCTGATATCCAAAGCTTCCCGTGGCAGGGAGATCTCTTTCTGCCTCAGAGGGCTGGCTTGTGACTGCTGAAGCAAAACCCTCTCAGAAGGCTTTCGACAGCGCGAGGAATGGGCATCGCAAAGCTCCTGGACCCTGAAGTCGTGAAGCCTACCTCTGTTCATGGCCTTAATAAATCAAGGTACAACAGATAGAATACCCTAAACGCTTCTATGCCTTTCGACGGACGTAAGGTTTTCGACCCCAGATACCTTAAGCGTACTCTCCAGGATGAGATGGAGGAGGAGCGACAGGAGCGAGTCAGGCAACTCGTGGAACAGCCACACATGCATTGCGGGCTCGCGGTTGTTTGATGCATTGGTAAACCTCCTGAATCCGGAGTTCTTCCCGGCCATGGGTAGCCAACTCCCCAAGCCCAACACCACAAGGTCCTAATTCTGAGGTCTTTTGGTGTGAGGATGTTACTTGCGGCGCTTATTTGGGTCCTGCGTGAACTGTGCTATGTAGTATTTTTATGAGAAAGCAATGCCTGGCTGGCCACGAGCTTCGACTGTCTAGACAATCAAAGGCCATTAGCATCATAAGCCATAAGCAGACAAATACTATTTGCTGAGATTTTATCCAGAGTGATGTCGCAGTCGACGCGTTCTCAGCACTTTCGATCTGTACGCATCTCTGAGTGCTACACCCAACAAGCTGCAAGCTCTTTGCTTCGTGAGCTAATGTAGGGGCCTAAATAGTTATACTAATTCTAGTTTGGGGGCTCCTTATTGAAATTGTAGCATAACGGGCCCCAAAACCCTATTCTAATTAATTAAGGCCCCATAACCCTAGACAGGCCCTTGACTGGAGAGATGCACAAACGGCTGGCGGGAGGTTGTTTCGGAAAACCTTTGCTTGATCAGCATGCGAAGCAGACTAGGGTCTAATATAGTCGTCTTAATCATTACCTGTTATATTATTTTGGGGGGTTCCTAATTAGGGTTGAGGGTTTAGGGTTTAATGTAGCGGCCTTAATAAAATTACCTATACTATTTTGTTTTTTTTTGGGGGGGGTTCCTTATTATAAGCATAGTGTAATTGGCCCCAAAACCCTATTCTAATCATGAAAGCCCCTACATTACAGGGTTTAGGGGTTCCGATGGTTCTTTCGTGTGGGCCGTTCAGGCGAGCCGATCAGGATCAGGCGGCGGCCATGAATAAGGCCGGGCGAACGCTGTCGCCACTCCCACCAATACTACGGTTGATGGACAAAATCCTGCATGACCTTATATACCTAAACTACGGGATTTATGGTACTATGCTATATTTGAGTCATGCAGAATTTGGTCCAGCGACAGTACGTCTAGTGCTACCGCCGGTCCCCTAGCTAATTCTGACAGCAATGCAGCCGAAAACACAGACGCCACCACCACCAAGCAACAACAACAACACCACCTCCACCACCACCACCACCAACACCACCACCTACTGAGTACTGATTGCAAAGAAAATAGCTGTTGGCTACTATCTACCTTGCTGCAAAGATGTGGGTTCGGGGCAGATCAACGCAAAGTTTGACTCCATCTCCGCTCCGTCGCAGTCCTCGGTGACAGCGGGGAGGCTTGGCCTCGCGTGCGATTTCGAGGATCATTCCAGTCTCAGAAATAGTAGTCAGAAGAAGCGATGGTCGTGTCTCCGGATGAGAACTTGCATCGCTGTTGTTGGACCGCAGGGGTTGCCGAGCTTTCACTTCATGGTAAAATCGAGATGTCTCAAGGTGACTTTGGGCGGACTGGATAAGACCGCGGCTGCTCAGCAAAAGCAACATGGGTTGACTGGCGGCTTTGTCAGCGAAACGCTGCAATCCATTAGCCATACTTTTACATCTTTGTTGGCTCCGACCTGTAACTACCTATAGTCTCCATTGTAGTTCCTTTTTTTGGTTTAACCAATTATATATTAAGGATTTTATAAGGTATCCCCAAAAAGGAACTACAATGGAGACTATAGGCATCTCACAAAAGAAATAGGGCGACCCCCGTTTCATAATGCATTGGGAGCCCGAGAGCCTATTGCAAGGGGGGCTTCTTCCCACGGCCTTGGCTCCGTGGCGCTGTGCGGCACGGGGGAGGCAGCAGAGCCTGGTCGGGATGGGAACGGTTCAGTGTAGTGGCTCGACTTCACTAGCCGAACGATGTTGGTCCTTATAAGAACCCAAGACCACTCAAGCATAAACGTTTTGGGGAGTCGTGGGGATATGGCGATTATGGAATGTCCCGGCCTTATGGGGACTTGAGGGACTTTACATGTAACTGACCAGAAGCCTGATTCTTGGTTTCACGGAAACAGCATCATGTTCGCCGTGTTTGTTTAATGTTTGTGTGTTGTTTTTTGGAGGGGGGGTCAGCCGGGCACACTTGGCATGCGCAGATTCCAGGAACCTAGAGATTAAAAGAGCAAGACTCGCAGGCTGGGCTGAGCTTTGAGCTCAGGTTCAGAGTTCGGGCTCTAGGGCGCAAGCGGGTGCTCCTGGCCTCTACTAAGACAATGAGGGGTATCTATTCCAAGAAGTGTGACACAAGTGCTAGCCGATGGACCCTTCGTGGGTTTAGGGGTCTAGGGTGGGTAGTCTACTTGGAGGTTCATGGGTA